CCCCGCCCCGGGGGCCCCGGGGGCCGCGGCACGGCCCGGCGGGTCTCCCGGCGGCCCCTGAGCAGCCCCTTCCTGCGGGCTGGGGTGGGAGTGACGGGGAAGGGCGGCAGGAACGGGAGCTGCGGGCCTGTGCGCAGCAGGGCGGGGGCTGATCCCTGGAAGGCCGCTCTGTGCAGGGCCCGGGAGCCCTGCTGGACGAGGTCACCGCGGGCCAGCAGTGTGCTCTTGTGGCCAAGAAGGCCGGTGGCAGCCTGGGGTGCATCGAGGGGGTCCTGCGGGTCAAGGAGGGGCTTCCTCCTCCTCTAATCTGCCCTAGTGAGGCCACATCTGGAGTGTTGTGTCCAGTTCTGGGCTCCCCAGTGTAAGAAAGATGAGGAAGTGCTGGAGTGAGTCCAGCAAAGGGCTACAGGGTTGATGGGGGGAGCATCTGAGATGAGGAAAAGCTGAGAGAGCTGGGTCTGTTTAGTCTGGAGAACAGAAGACTGAGAGGGGATCTTACCAGTGCTTATAAATATGTGAAGAGTGGATGTCAAGATGATGGGGCCAGACTTTTTTTCAGTGGTGCCCAGCAAGGGGCAACAGGCACAAAGTGAATCAAAGTTCCATCTGAACCTGAGGAAAACTGTGTTACTTGGAGGGTGAGGGAGCACTGGAACAGGCTGCCCAGAGAGGTTATGGAGTCTCTGCAGATATTAAGAACCTGCCTGGACATGATCCAGTGCAGCCTGCTCTAGGTGAACCTGCTTTAGCAGGGTGAGTGGGCTAGAGGATGTCCAGAAGTTCCTTCTAAGCCCTGCCATTCTGTGATACAGAATTTACAGGAGATAAAGAAGTGCAGTTATCTGTACCTGACAAGAGGTGGCAGGTGTGTGCTGTGTTTTAATCAGTGGATACAAAACCACCTTGTGAATGAGATGAATACGTGTATGGATGGGGATGTTGAGGCATTCAGAACTGGATTTACTTCCCAGGGTCTTCATCAGGTCGATTAGGATGGAAAACAGGCTCTTCCAGTCTTGTAAGGCTTAGCCTGGGAACACAGAGTGTGCTGCTAAAATGTGAATGGTGGCCAAGTTACTGCTGCCAAAGTGTTGCTGGGCAGTGATGGAAGAACTATCCTCCTGCTCTGGTTTCATTGTGTCCCTGCTTTGGTGGGTGAGAGGAAGAAATAAGAGGACTTCCAAGTATTCAGTTACTCAGGCCACTGCTTTTACTTGATCTAATCCCAGCTCCAGATGTGCAGCCACGTGTCTACCAGGTATTGAAGAAATGATGGCCAAAATAACACTGTGGGGATCTGTGCTGGGTGTTTTAGCCCATGAGCAGCATTAGGAGATGGGCTGTGCCCAAGAGACTGGCAGAAGCATTCTGCTTGACCCCAGGGCTGAGGTAAAATAGACATTGGAGCAGGTGGGGGAAGCCCAAGATTTTATCATGCCCTCAAGCAAGGGGAAAGCAGCTTAAGTGACAAGAGAAATGTGTGCTCTGCTAAGATGGGGCACCTTGCTCAGTTAAAGAGAGAATCTTCTGAGTTCAGTGTAGCCTCTGTAAAGAGAGAACCTTGTCCAGAAAGTCTTAATCTGAAAGTCTCTGACTATGGCTTGTGCTTGAAGGAATCTGTTTGTGTCTGTTTTGGCCTCTTTTTCTGAGGCCTGTGAGATCAGTTAAGGTGTGTGAGACACGTTAGTCAAGCTCTCAGCATCTCTTGGTGTGGGAGAATTTCCTGTAGGAAACATCACAAAATTAACAGTACGTTCCATCATGTTTAAAATCTGGCAAAATCAGCCTCTGTAGGAGGAAAGATTGTAAGTTTCCCATCTCTGCTGTTGACTCCTTGGTGATGCACTGGTATCTTATGAACACAGGGTGCCTCCCATGCTGCCACAAGGCTTCTGGCTTTACAGGAGTTCAGAGCTGCCAATACTGTAAAAATCAATCCTGACACTCCCCAGAAGAATGCTCGCTTCCTAACGCTGGAAGTAAGTGAACATGTTTTCTTTTCCCTTGCTTCCTTTCTTCACACAGGGCTCTCACCAGGCTTGCTGCTCTGTTAAGGAGCTGGATGTGTTCAACAGAGCAAGTGAGGTTAAAGTGGATCCTGACAAGCCTCTGGAAGGTGTTCGGCTGGCTGTGCTCCAGGTGATGGCACCTTGGTACCCCCGAGGAGCAGTGGGACTCCTGGGCAGCCCCTCCTGGGCAACACCTGCCATTTTTCCAGTGGGAACTTTCCCAGCCCTGAGCCTTATGAGGTTGCTCATGTTAAGGTGTCTTTGCCTTCTTTAGCAGATGGTGAAGGTGCAGGTAGAGTTTGGGGAAGTAAATCTGTTTCTGTGGAGCTGTTTCACCATCATTGTGTTCTTACTCCCTGAAACATGTAAGGTACCTTTGCCTCAAATTGCCCTAATGTTGATCACAAGATGAATGTGGGACAGGCTTACCTGAGACCTGTGCATGGTCACTTGTTTACATGTGTAGCTCCTTTCTGGGAACGCACTGGAGATCAACAGGTGTTGCCATCTGTTTCCTAAATCAAGTCTTGGCTGGAATTTTGCTGTACTGGAGGGGATTCAGCTACAAGCACAAGACAATCAGCAGTGCTAACTGCTTCATAGCAAATAAGAAGACTGACCACATGTGGATCTGTGGGATAGTAACAATATTTTAGTGGCTCACCTCCTTTTACTGTGAAAACTTCTGTTGCACAGGCAAGGAAGACTCTGTTGGTTCCCACACCTCGGCTGAGAACTGGGCTGTTCAATAGGATTGTTCCACCTTCAGGTGCATCTAAGGAGATCCTGAAAATATGTGCTACATCCCAGGTAGGGATGGAAAATAGGAGAGGTCTGGATTAACCTGTAGAGGAGTCTTGTGTTACAAAGTTCCAGCTAGAGGTTGGAAAACCAGATACTACTCGTCTTGGATCTTGAGGTTTCTAATCCTCCTGTATTCTGCAGTTTTGAGTTGGTGAACCCCTATCAGAGGTCACCCCTACACTGCTTACAGGTTTTGCTTAATCTGGTCAGTAAATCTGGTTTTACTGATTAGGAAAGATCCGGTTTTTTTCCGAATCCTAGATCTGAAAGCAGATGAATTGTGTCATTTGCATCAGCCGGTACAAAAGCTGTGGGCTGCGTCCTTCCTCAGGGCGGTGTGTTGCTGCCCTCCGGTGGTGAAATATCACACTGCGGGGTTGGGCAGAGGAACCTGCCTGGTCTTAAACGCAGCTTTATTTCCTCATGAAAACTTGTGCAAATAATTGTGAATAGGCCAGCTCTGTAGGTTTTATTTCATTCTTTTTCCCCTTCCTAAAGGCAATGAAGTTCTGCAGTAATCCTGCCTACAACCGAGAGCTGTAAATGGGTGGCAATTAGTAGTGACTTCCTTTGTTGGAACTATTAGAGTCGTTAACTAATGAAGCTTTTCAGGGTTGCAGAGCACTTTTGAGAAGAACCTTTCTCTTGACCTGCCTCAGGCCTCGTATCTGCTCTGTGATCTTGCCACCACGTGTCTGGTCTTTCCCCCCACCAGGCACACTAATTAATAAATACTATTAGCAGTTTGTATTTGCAAAGTACTGTGCAAACAGTTCTTACCAGGCTGCTGTGAAGTAGGTATTGAGCATTAGTACAGGTAATCAGTCACAAGATACTGATCATTTTGGTTTTGTGCTCTGCACAGAAAATATTTGCCTTGACATTGTGAGGATTAACTTATCCCCAAGTTGAATTAGCATGAGGAGGGTTTACATTATGCTGGACATATGTATTGAGAGTGAATGAATTCTAAGGTATCTTTCTAAAAATGTTAAACCTCTAAAAGTTTTGCTTCAGTAAAGCATTTTGTGTGATTTCAGACAAGCAGCTTAGCATCTTTATGCTGTTAGTTATCTGTCTGTAAATTAACCTTGGGAGAATTAATGTACAGTGCTCTGATACTCCTCATGGGTGTGAATTTACATATTATGTCTTTAAGTTAGTGTAGGTCATTTGACCTCATTTTTAGAAATGAATGTCCACTGAAGGGTTTCAAAATACAAGTTTTTGGTCCCAAATAACTAACTTTGCTTAGGAAAGTGCCCACCTCCCTTAGCTCTCCTTGAAATGTGCCAAAATTCTTGTCACTCTAGGAGGGAATGCATTCCAGGATTCCCTGGAGGATAACTTTCCAGACATGTACAGTTTAGCTATACGTGGAAGAAACACTTTGAAGCCAGGGCAGTTACTTGGATTTATCAAACTATTCTGGATTTCTGCCTCACTGGTTGGAAGACTCTGCACTCTGTGAACTGAAAACTCCATTTTTCTTGCAGGGTGTAAAGGAGTTCAGTGTGCCTGTAGGTCTGGATGGGAAAGCACGAGTGGACTTGGTTGTTGTAGGATCAGTGGCTGTCTCAGAAAAAGGTAAGATAAAGCCTTGTCAACTTTCAGAAGGAGAAGGAGGGGCTAAAGTCACAATTTACCATCTCAGTGGGATACACTGCCTGTTCCTTGAGGCAAACCCAAATTTTTGGAGCTGAATTAGGGTCTTGACTTGTGTCTCTTCTGTGGGACAAGTCACTGGTCCCAATCCAACCAGGAAGAACCACCACCAGCTTTGCAGCAATACCACCAGAACTTGGAGGACAGCCAGCAGTGAGATTTAGAGCATGCAGGCCAGTGCTTTGGCCTGCAGTAGAACTCCTCAGGCAAGCAATTTTTCATTTGTAATTTTTTTTTCTTTTAAAAGAATCAGAGAGCTCCCTGTTCAGAGGATCTGCTCTCCTCTCACATGGTGTGTGAAAGGACATGTTACGCCTACTGATTCAGTACTTCTTTGGGAATCAGGTTTTGGATTTTCTAGTATTTTGAAGACCTGCTAGTGGTGAAAAATGTTCCATTGACTTTATCCATTGCCTAAAAATAACCTGCTCTTTGGGTGTGACCCGGACTCCTCTTTACCACAAGTTTGACCTATATTTGACATGAGTAGAGGGTTCTAATTACAACAGGTAAATATGCCTCTGTGTTAACTGAACTGATTTGGTTTATTCTGAATGGGAGGCTCCTGGGATCTTTTACGTCTTTATTAAAACAACCCTTTTGTTTTAATGTCTTTAATTGTTTTTTGTTTTAATTGTAAGGAAAGCTGCATTCTGTGAGGGGTCCCAAGTTTCAGCTCTGTGCCTGGTTTAGCAGTTGCAGGCTGCTTGGTTTATCTCCCTGCTCTTCACAGGTACCAGCCTTCCCACTCTGCTGTTCCTGTGCTCACTGTCTCTGTTGGCTTTTGTGCATTTTAGGCTGGAGAATTGGAAAAGGGGAAGGTTATGCAGACATGGAATATGCAATGATGGTGTCAATGGGTGCAGTGCAGGAGGACACACCTGTAATTACTATTGTGCATGACTGTCAGGTAAGTTAAAATATCCAGTGCCAAGTGAGGGGTCAGAACAATGTGACAGGGAATGTGAGTCTGAAGAAGAGACCTGGAATGATGTTGGTTTAGGTCTTTGCTTCCAGCATCATCCACAGATTATCATATGTTTCGAGACCTCAGGAATAATGCATCACTTCAGTGACTTTATTTCTACCTATTTACCAAATCTCTTGTTCCTTCTAGGTGCTTGACATAGGAGAAGAACTTCTTGGTGATCATGATCTGACTGTGGATTATATACTGACTCCAACAAGAACTATCAAGACTGACTGCAAACGACCAAAACCTCGGGGGATAATATGGCATAAGGCAAGTGACCTCTGCTAATGGTGGCTCAGTGGTACCAACATTCTCTTGATAAGTCCCCCCCTTTTTGCCTATAAACACACTTGTTGTATTAGAAATACTTGGAAAAGGAGGAGATGTGTTTGTCAGATGAAACAGAACAGCAGTATCTTTGTTCAGCTTTTTTTTACGTGGTCATAGTGAGGAGGAGAAACATGTTAGTGAAGCTGAGGGTGCTGTGTCAAAATCACAAATCATTATTTATTGATGAATACTCTTTTATGGGTTTAGTTGTTCCCCCATCTGAGTTTGTCAGGAAGCTTGAGCAGCTTCACAAATGATTTCAGAAAAGTATTTAGTGAATAGTTTTACTGGAAGTTCACATGGGGAAAACTTTTTTCTTTGTCATTAGATTTTCATTCCTAAAATCTTCCAGTTTGGGAGAAGACGCAATCCTGCATGACTAAGTAATAATAGGAATGCTGAAGTGAGGAATAGTTTACCCATATCTTGCAGAAACCACTGAGGAATCACTAGTGAATACTTCTAGGGAGATCAAAAGTTGTTAGCCAAGCACTTGCCAACCAACCAAAAGAGTTAAATTTTTAAGGTAATGTTTCTGCAACAAACAATTCTAGCCAGTACTATTTTTATTCCTATGGTGGGAGAGTATTTTCCCCTGCTTGTGGTTGAGGACTTGAGGTTAGAAATAAATAAATAAACGTTCTCTACTAGTGCATTTTTTCCATTGAATTATTTTTGAATCATTTTTTTTTAGGATATTATTGAATTGAATTGTTTTGAAGGCCTTGTGCTCCATCCATCTTGCCAAAATATTTTTGCTTGCTTGTCTGTCTTAATGTCAGGCTTCAGTCTCATTAAGTGGCCTTGCTGACACTTTTTTTTATTCAGTCTGAGCCCCTTTAGCAGTGGCATTTTTCAAAGGTTTGAGGGGCAGAGTCTCTTGCAGGGGATGTTGAATTCTTGTGAAACTTGTGCCACTCAGAAGAAGTCAGTCAGTCCCAAGCAATGTTTCAAATTCCATGTTACCTTTGCATTTCTTTCCTTTGCAGAGGAAAAAAAAAGTCATTCTCAGTCTTATATGCCTCAAACCAATGAAGGATCTGCCACAACTCTGTATGGGTGGTGGTGTCTGAAAAACACACCTCTTGCTGAATTTTGTACAGATTTCACTGAGAATGGAGCACGTTCCCCTACTCAGCCTTTATTTGAATGTTGATTTAATAGCTAAAACTGCTTTTGGCTGTTCTTCAGAGGGTATGTTGATAAGAATATTGGAGGATAGTAGCCAGAGCAGGGATAGTCACCACATTTCTGTCCTTTTGGGACAAGAACAAAGTGTCATGAAGAAGAAGAAAAAAAAAGAGCATGATTCTTTCAGAGGGAGCTGAACCACTTGTATAAGGCTGTGGTTGTGGGAGGTCCAGTTAATCAACAAGGTGGTAAAAGTGTAGGATTTGATGTGGGTCATTTAAGTGTTTATCCTTGGACTTTTTCTGGCTGCTTCTAGGTCCTTTTCTCTACATCCTTTTCTCCTTCAAATCCTGGTTTTACTGTTGCATTCCTGTTCCTCAGGGCAAAACTAAATGAACCTAGAGGTAGTGAATAAATAAACAACCCACTTCTAAATATGGTGTTTTGTCAACTGAAAGTAGCTTAACTTCATTGTTAAGATGTGTGATGTGTAAAATACATTGCAGAAAAGTTCATCCTTCAGGAAGGTGGCTGGATCAAGCCAAGACAATGATTTAAGAGCTTAAATTAAAGGTGTTTGCAAACATGGGATTACAGCCAAGCATTGCTGTAGAGGAGGTGCTTCCCTGAAGCTGTTAGGATAAACAGCCTTTAAGACAGGCTGCTTTCAGCTGAAAGAGGTAAGAAGGGTCTTGTGCAGCAAACAAAATGCAAGTCTCCAGGCTAGATTTCTGTGCTCAAAGGGCTACTGCAAATTTCCTGGAGCGTTTTTGTATGTTATGTGCCATGTAGGAAAGAAATAGTGGGTCTGATATGGGGATGGGGTAAATAGGTGTTCCTCTGAGAGTAAATGATTCACTTTCGGGGTAACCAGCTTGACTTGGGCTTGGTTGCTTCCTTTCAGTTCTTCTCAGAATTTCCAGCTGAGCTATTTCTTGCTGTTGAGGTAGGATGTTTTTCCAAACAGGAAGATGTGAATTATTTGCTCTGATTTTTGTCACAGAAATGCTAATTTAAAGACTTCCAAGCAAGTATAAAGCCTACAATAGTATTAATACCAAAGGAACATGATCAATATCAGTGCTAGGCACTCTAGAAACACTTCTAAGGACAGAGGCAGTACTGGAGTGTGTTTATGGCTGAGTTTTCTGCATCTGAGAACAAGGTTTTGAGAAATCAGTCCATGCTCTTGGAGGACAGCAAGAGCTGAGCACTCTGGAAAACTTTATTTGGATGCCAGTGGAGAATTATTTGGCTTCATCTGTCTTGAAAATCTAACCCATTGTTTCTGGGAACTCGAAATTCATGCAACTACTTACTTTCCCATTTAGTATTTTGTATGGGTAGCTGTGATCTTTATCTGTGACACTGTCTATTATATTTGTCACAATTATGAAGTTATTTGTTCCGTGCTTATTTTAAATTGAAACGATACAAACCAATTAAAATTGATGGGGTTATGAAGAGGGAAATTAGTGTAGATGGTGGAAAAAACACTAGATGCTAGCAAGCATTTCCTTCTGTTTCTTTAATCACTCTTTTACAGAGAATTTTATAGAAGTAGGAAGAGATATTTTTTTTTTTCCAAATGAAATGAACCAGGGGAATCCCTGGGTCTAATGCTGAAACAGTTCAGGATGCAGTGGCAGAGATGGAAACTATCTGACAGCAAACAGCTTGATGTTGTTTTAAAGCTCAAAAATTCACACATTCAAGCTGGCAACACTTTTTAGCAGGGGCACAGTGTTGCCATGAGAAGAAAATTGCTTTTAGTTTAGCCAAGGTTTGGTTTGGTTTGTTGGAGGGACAGTGTGAGCAGGGCATGGTTCCATGCATGGTTAAACATCTCAACACCTTGGCAAGTCTGACCCTTGCTGCAGAGTCCATGGAATCGTGGTGTTGGGTTTTTTTTGCTGATGGATTCCAAATGTGGGTTGCATATATTTCTCCTGAGGGACACTAGCAGATTTCATGGACTGCCAGCTCCCAGAAATATGCCCTGGGATTGCGTGCTCATATTTGGACATTTTGTGCAAATGGATGATAAAATGTTGGACTGTGCTGGCCTGTCCTCGCTTTGTCTGTGCTTTCAACCTCCATGAGCTCAGTGTTCCTTGAAACAAGCAGCTGCTGAGGGTCACAACACGAGAGGTGGGCTCTGTCCTGGAGACCTTGATGACCTCTTGGGTCAGACACTCCTCAGGGTGGGCAAAGCTGAATTTTCCAGACACTTTCTTTCTACCATCCTCAAAACTTGGGCTGGTGGATCTGCTCTATTAAAGGATCTTGACTGCAGCCTTCCAGGGCAGGGCAGCAGCAGCAGCATCTGTCTCCATCCTGAGCCATGTGTTCTTACACCAGTTGGTGTGTGAAGCAGAAGCAAACAGCAGACCTAGCTTGCTCTCCAGGCTCAAGCTGTCCTTCCCTCATCCTCCTACATCAGAACTGCGCCGCCTCTGCTGCCAGGGAAATCCAAGTGGTGTTTGGCTTGGCCTGCACTGCATCAGGGGTCAGCATTACTCATTCTGTCAGAGGACAAACACATCTTTCATTTTTCCCCAGCAAAATATTGAAAGTGGCTGTGCTCACTGTTCTGGAATACCAGTGGTTGAAGAGAGCCCCGATGTCTCAGCAGAGACGTTGCAGAACATCTGCCACTGCATTGTTTTGGGACCAAACCAGGTGTCCTGAGAGTGGGTGCTCAGGGTTAAGTGCTGGGAGATTTGTATTGGCAGTCAGCATCCAAGACTGTTTTCTTCAGGTTTCTGTCAGAAAGGGGCCACGTTTCCCTTCTCAGCTCCTTTCCCATAGCCCGGTAATTGTGTGCCAGAAGAATTCATCTACCCTGCTGTCCTCTTTCCCCAAGGCTCTCCCAGCTATGGCAGTGAGCAAAGCAGGATTGTTAAATGATTAATTGCCTTTGTGGAGTTATTTTTAACCTGAATCACTTCAGTTACTGCGTTTATAGCACAGACCCACAAGCACTTCTGTTGGCCAACCCCAGAGGGCTGAAGTAGGGAACTGGCCTGGGAATTGGTGGTCAAGGGATAATAGGAAACTTCTTGTGCTGGCTTCACTGCCAAAGCCAATCATTTAGCTAAATCCCAATGCTCAATACAAAGTTTACAAACATCAATAAATGGTTTGGCCTTGACTTTATTGGGATGTGGGGAGAAAAGGAGGAAGCTTCTGTCACTGGCTTTGCCCAGGTCCATATAACTGGATCAATGAGACCTGGGGCAGAACCCAGCTGCTCCCTTGCATCCTGGTATAGCCTCAAGTGGTAGGCAAGGCTAGGGAGGAGGAAACATCCAGCACAGGACCAAGAAACGTGCAGCTTGTTTGAAAGAGAGGACTAATATCTTTGGCCTCTCTCCACGTGGAAATAAATCATTGCAATCCTCCACAGCTCACAAGACAAAAGAAACTTTTTGCATTATCATAATGAGCAACATATTGTACTACCACAGAGCTCTTTTGTTTGCTGTTTTGCAACAGAGCAGAGCAAGTTTTTTCCTCTTCTCTGCCACCCACTGCCCCCTTTGCCCTTTTGGCTCTCACCCCTTGGACCCCAAGAAAGGTAGTGGACTGGTTGTTGGAACTGGAACTCTAGAACCACAAACTGAGTTTCTGTCTTGCCTTGACATAAAAGTGGGGAAAAAGAGGGAAGGATTTAGAAAGTTTGGCGTTGCTGAAATATTGCTCCTAGACCCTAGGGAAAATAGCTCTTAAGGTAAATCCTCTGTCTCTTGTTTGTGGCAGGATGATGTCAGCTGGCAGTGACAGAACTTGTCTAATGTAGGTTTCTTTACAGAATGTTTCCTGTTATCAAAGTATCCATGTGTCTAATCAGCTGCCCTGTTGCTTTGGTGCTGTAAGGGCTGTGCACTGGTATATATGCACAGAGCTGAATTTAAGGTAGTGGTAGGTTCACTTCATGGTGATGTTTGATCAGAGCTTCAATAAGAAACAACAGTTGTGTGAGGACACATACACTGTTGTAACCACATCTTCCTGTGTCTGCAGGGAGCCTGAAACAATAGCTCCAAGAGCTCCACTCAGGTGCCAAAAGCTACTGGTCACTCTAGTGAGAGGAGAGGCCATCTTGAAGTCTGGCCAGTTGAAGACTTTTAGAGAGTGTCCTGGCCTCTGGATTATCTAAATCCTCTCCTTGTTTTTTCTTTGAATGATTGGGAGTTCCAGAGATCATCCTTCCAGCCCCCACCTCTTTGATGCCCTTAATCTACAAAGGGCTGAGGGCTTGCCCTTGGTGGTGTTGATCTTTCCAACTGAGCACCCAGTCCATGCCTTGGGAACTGAGTTTAATGTCAGGGTGAAAGGAACTGTACATACACTTGGTAAGAGGTTGAGGTTGTTCTTTGGGCCCAGGAGTGATTAGTTGCATGAGAATAGAAAAATGTTTTTCCTGTTTGGTTTAATTAGCTTAGAGCTTACATTTCACATAGAAATCTGACAGAGGACAACAAATGTTCCTAATTGTTGGCCAGTAAAAACAAAGTAAGATGGCTTCAGCCATTGGTTTGATGTTCTATTGCCCAGGGAAGGAGAGTTTGCTGTTGAACACAGCAGTCTGAATTCTTGGCTGAGAAAAACAAATCAGTCCAAGAATCCACAGAGCAATAACTCTTCAAAATCTGAAAATGGCATGTACCTTTCACAGTGTGGAGGCTCCCAGAGCCCCAGAGGAAGTCCTTGCCTCTCTGTACTGGCTGCCAGACCAGGCCAGATTTGTTCAGAACTTGTTCTCAGTCAGTTTGCTTGTTTAAAGGGTCTGATCTCAAACACCTTGATTCTGAGGCCGCAGTGTGGCCGAGTGGAAGTTACTTCTATTCTGCTTTTTCATTCTGTATTAACAAAACAGAGCTAGGACAGGCTTTATGTAGACTCTGTTTTTATTTGGTTTCAGCCTGAAGTAAAACTTACTTGTTTGCTCCTCAGAAGAGGAGCCCTGGGAATATTTGAGAGACTTCTGTTGACTGGCTTTCCTGTTACCTAAAGCTCAGGTTGCCCCCACCCTGGCTTTGACTCTACTTGAGTCACTTCAGAGCTGGGCTACTCTCCCTAAAGGACTGTACATTTTAGACCTTATGTGGTGCAACCAGATCCATACTCACTCTTGATTGTAAGTGTAGAACCAGGGATTCAGGGGCTCTGAGATGAGAGAGATCTGAGCTGGGAGATCTGCAGGCATGTTCTAGTCAGGATATGCTGGTGCTGGTCCAGTCCAGCCTGCTGAAGGGTAGTGGCAATGAGCCACTTGGGTGCAGTGCCCTGCTAGGGTGGCTTGCTCACACTGTGTGGGCTACTAGCTTGGGTCTCTGCTAGCTCAGGCATCACTTCCCCAGGCCTTGTTTTCCTCCCTAAATTTAAGAACTGGATCTTGTGTTGATGGATGTTCTGCTTGTCCAGCAGCCAAGTACAAATTATTCCTCCTTCCAAGCTCAGTCTGCGAGCCAAGAGCGAGACCACATGAGCTGGGGAACCACTGCGTTTCCTGCCAGTCACCGAGTGCAGCCTGGGGCATCTCATGCCTGAGATGGATGGGGTTCAGCTGTTGAGAGGAAGAGCCCTTCCAGAAAAGCTGCTCGTGAGCTGGGGGTGGGTGGAAGGGGCAGAGCATTCACAGTTTTGAAGTACAGTGTCCAGGCCCTCTTCTGTTCCGTGATCCAGCCCAGCAGACCCATGTGGGATCTGATGAGTAGCTGGGGGTGGTGTGTGAGGTGGGATGACAAGGGGGAGGCTGTGGTGATGTGCCACAAGCAGAGAATGTGCCTCCAGCTGAGCCCACACTCATGGGAGCTCTGCTACAAGGCACGCTCCTCAGCTGCAAACTTAACACCATCGTCCCTCCCCATTGTGTGACCCAGCCTACGGGATATCCTGTTTTGAGGGGAAAGAGCACAAGGAGATCTGCAGAATGAAAGGGCCTGATGGTCTGATGAATTGTAGGCGTGTAGGATTCTGCCAGAGCAGGAGCACAGGCCCTGGCTCAAAGCAAATATGAAGGGATAACAATGAGAATGCAAATCTGAAAGCACTCTGATAAATAAAAGTCAAAATCGAATAGTTGTGAGTTTGGTTTTGATTTTCCTGCTGGATCTACATTGTGTTGCTTGCTTAAAGAGCAACTAATGTTTATTTTTGTCCTGCAGTGTGTATTTAGGGAGCAGCTTCAGAATCAGGCCAGCAGTTAGCAACATTTTGAAAGCTCTGGCACTCTGGATAGTAGTGATATAATAAGGTTCCTCTCTTCATGGTGCAAATAGATCCTGACAGTTGTTGTCTCTCTCTGGAAGGAGCAGAATCCTATAATTGTGTCTCTCTTCCTCCTTTTTAGGTCAGCTATGAGATGCTGGAAAAAATCCCCATCCTGAAGAGTCTTAGATACAGAGAGAAACAGGCTGGCAAGGATGTTACCCTCCAAGATGAACAGTCGGACTTGACAAATGCCAACACACCAGCAGCAGTAAATGAGAAGGTGGTGGCTGAAAATTCAAGACCCCAGGCTGCCATGGGCTTGGCCCAACCAGGACAACATTGTGTTGGAAGTGCTTCTTTAAGTCCCAGATTAGAGGGATCTGGGATGATTACTACTGTGTATGTGGGGAACATCCCTCCCAGCGTCAGAGTGAGTGAGCTGAAATCTGCTTTGAGGGAATTCCATGCAACTCCTTTCCGACTGAACTGGCAAGGAGCTCAGCACAGGGCTTTTCTTGATTACAAAGATAAAACAACTGCAGAGAGTGCTGTGTCCTCTCTGAAAGGCTTGAGCCTCGGGGGCAATACTTGGCGAGTTGAGCTGGCCAAGAATCAGAGAAACAAAGGGCAAGTAGAAATCAATAGTCAGAAATGAATATGAATAGAGGGGGCTGAAAAGAAAAATAGGCATGTTCTCATTGTTTTGTGAGAAGCCAACCTAAGTTTTCAAGGAGCTTGGTATGTCCTCTGGTTTCTGCAGGCTAAACAACAGAGTGCAAAGCCAAATTTTCAAACAAATGAGGCATGGAGCTGGCAGGTGACTTGCCTGCCTCACTCCTGCAGTTGTGTGTGCAACATCTATTTGTTAATACAGGTGACAGAGGGGCTGTTTCCCCAAAGGGCCACCTGCAGAGTGGTGCTGTTGGTTTTTCCCTGGCTGGGGTGGCTGTGCTGTTTGGTATGTACATTGGTTAGACCTGGATCAAAAAGCCTGTCTCTTGGTAGCTGTGTGCAGCCAGATGGGGTGAGGTGGTTGTGTTCTGTCAGCTAAAGATTGTACCTGCAAATTTGTACTTGGGAGCTTAAAAGCCCCCTGCAGTAAATCTGTCTTAAGGGTTACAATTCTGTTTACTAAAAAAATGGGTTCTGCCTGTTGGGAGTTTTCAGCATATTATTCATAAGAATGCCCTTTTTGTGCTCTTGAAGAATGGTTGTGGAAACACTGTCTCAGCCACCAAGTTCTAGTAATAACTATTAACATCATGTGGAAGAGATGGTAGCCCCTTTCTCAGCTTTGTTTTGTTAATTCAGCCCTTTGGAAACCTTGTATTTCTTATTTCAGTCTGGGAGAGAAAAGTGAGGACCAGTTTTTCTCATCTGCTTTTCCCCACAACACTTCAGGTGCCTTTGTGATGGATGCAGGTAATTATTAAATAGACACTTTTCCTGATGGCCTTGTCTCTTGCAATTTGGTGGGGTTCCATTGCCTGTGGGAAATGACATTCCTATTAATCATGGTAGTGGAAATGGAAAGCACAGACCACAGTCAAAACTTGTGGGTGACTAGTCTGGTATGGGGTTGTTTGAAAAGTTGCTGGAGATGGGAGCAAAGCCTGTTCCTGCTGTGCCTTTGTCACCACCAGTGTGGTCTTCCTGCCCCCACATCCTCAGACAGGGTTAGACAGCAGCACTGGCAGCTACTCATTGTGGAAGGGCTGTCAAGTGCTGGGCTTGAACAGCAAGGTCTGGACATACATGAACATTCACTTTGGGCTCAAGGAGAATGATGGTGGATTTTTGATGTGTCTTTTATTAGGGTGGGTTTTTTCCCTTTGGTTTCCTATTCCTGAAAAACAAGTTGAATTTTGGCTGAACCATCTTTTCTAAACAGAAGCACTTTTGCCATTGATGCTGGGCACGTAGTCAAAGTAAGCATCTAAATGGGTATTTTTTTAAGTCTGAGTTGGAAACTTTTTTTAGCCAGAAGATACTGTGAAGTATATTTTAAGGACATTATTATGCCTCAAGGGTCAGACATTTTGTACAGTATTAAATAAAAAGTTCTCATCATCATAATGTACTCAGAGGGGCTCGAGGAAAGCTTTGCTTCAGATTCTTGTAAGGTCAACAAAAGAGAGGTTTCTGAAAAAAATAAAGTGCTGTGCTCTGAAATGCTCTGTTTTTCTCCAGCTCAAAATTATTTTCAGCATCTCTCAGTCTGAATTAAAACACAAGCACTGCAGAGTCCTCTGTGTCTTGTTTTGGTGGTTGTGCACTGCAAGGGTAGGAGTCAGGGGTTATGTTACTACTTAAACATGCTTGTTACATCATAAGCTTAGAAAGCAGAGGGAAGACAATTAAAAAAATAATTATACTTCACTGTCTTCCCCTTCCAAATGATGGCAAATTAAGTAACCTGATCATTTGAAGTTCTTCTTGACTCTTGCAATACTACTTGCTTTGGTGAAGGTGCCCAGGTGACCTTAGCAGTTAAAAAGCAGTTATTCTGCCAATGAAAACTTCCAGCATCTCAGACTTGTTGCATTACAGATACAACCAGCTCTTTTTGGTCAAATTTATGGGAATTTCATCCTCTACCTTACTTCCTTTCTTAGCATCTGAAATTTCAGTTCAGACACATTTATTTACCTGTTAGGTTATACATCACTGTGTTACATTTGCTTGCTTTGCTTTCAACACTGCCTGCAGCCAGTGGCCCATTTGGTTTGGAAAAACATCTCGAGATGATTCCTCTGTTTGCAGTTGTGGTTCTTTGTGTAACCCCCTCAGAGTGACCCGTGCCAGGTCTGTATCCAGAGGGGCAGATCTTGGCAGTTCTCTTCCAGCCTGTCACTTTTGACTGTCATGTATTATGAGGCCGCATTTTATGGTATCTAATTGTCACTTTGTCAATAGACAATTAATTATCCAAACCACACTATGGAGAAGATACTAACTAGACAGAGGTATATGGCTGTAATTAGGCTCAAAGAAAAATAATTACTGAAACTTCAGCTTATGCATCATTCATTAGCATTTTCAATGGACTGGACTAATGCTCTTGGTGCTTGGATAGTTGTATTTCCAACTTAAGTAATCCTTTTTGATCCAGGTTATTAATAAATGGCAAGGTCTTCTGAGCCCTGCCCATCGTAAGGTCATTAAATAATGTTTTTCATTCAAAATAGCAGCTGTTCCAGGCCTGACTTTGGTCTGTTGCAAACTGATCTGCACCAGCAGAGAACCTGAAGTGCAGGTACAAGTTCATTTCTGTCCTCTCTGCTTCAAGAGCAACAACCTGCAAGGAAGGAATTGGTACAGGCAGCTGTTGAAAATGGAGCCTGAAGCTGCAGAAGGTTCAGTCAGGGCTCAGAGCCCCTGCAGAGCTTCAGTAGTAGGGGGCTCCATGGAGGCAAAATGGTTGGACTTGATGGTCTTTTAAGATCTTTTCCAACCCAAACAATTCTATGCTTCTGTAAAACAATAGTCCTCAGAAAACTCCTGTGGGTTGCTATAGGATTCCCAGGGGGAAAACAAGAACTTGAGTATTTACATTCTGGAAAAAAAAAAGAAAAATAAAAAAACCCAGCATGACTTGCAGCCAAGCTGGTGCTGCAGCTTACCTGTGAGGAGGAGGAGGGTCTAGCTCCTGCTTTTTGAAGTGCAGAGTTACCAATACAGCAGGAGTTTGACCCCTGTGCACTCCCAAATCAAGGCAACGTCTGCCTTGGACAGCAAGGGAAGCAGTGACCAGGATGGTGCTGTTGCTGCTGCTTGGGAAGTGGCTCCTCTTCAGCTGAAAGACATTTCAATGCAAGATGCTAAATTGCTATTTAATTAAATAATACAAGCCTGCCCAGGGCACATGCCTACGTGGCCTTCTGGTGTCTTTAGCTGTATGATGTGGATTTTTTTCTTGTGGGCTGACCAAGTTCCTACTTGAGGAAACAGCAGATTTTGAAGAAAAAGTGAATGGGGGCCCTCTGCATCTCTCAGATCTATTGTTTCAGGCTCTCTGCATGCTCAGGAAGACATCACTTAGACATGAGTCACTTCTGACTTTCCTCTAAATCCCCAGAACCCTGAAATGCAATACATTTTAGTGAATCCTTGCACTCTGGTCTCAGAATGAAGCTTGAGGAACCGAAGCCTGGCTTATGTTTTCCTTTGGCCCAGACTATGCAAGACATTCTACCAACAATCAAACCATAAAGTCCGTGCCCTAAAGAATTTATAGCCTGAATTAACAGGCTTTAAAAGAGGAGAACCTTTGCTCCAGTAATAATTCTTCATCTTGTACCCATTGGAGTCGTGGCCCTGCTGTTATAGCATGTAGGTTGAACTTGGCTACATCTCCATAGACATAGTTTATGCCTCACCTCAGGTGGGTTCCAGCCCTTCCAGCCATCCCCTTTTTCCTGCTGTAACAGAAACACCAGCTGGATCTTCAGTGCTTCAAGCCAGTTCTCTGTCATGGCCTTTCTGTGACCACTCATGCCTGGAGCAATGGGGAGAAGTTGCCTTTAAGCATTTAACTCCCAGTCTGTTCCTGTAAGAACAGTGGGACATCCTTGCTTCTTGAGGCTCATGATAAAAACATCCCCAGTGACAAAGAAGTGCCTGGATGCTGCAGAAAAGTCTGAAACGCTGGTGACAGTTGGGTCATCTGCTTTAAGTAGGGAAGGAAGTGATCCCTAACACAGACTTGACTTCAGTTCACTTGCAGCAGCAGCAGAGCCTGCGTTTGGCTGCTGTGTGATGAGAAGAAAAGTTCAGCAGTACAATGGGAAATACTTTACTGAGCCAACTTTGTTCAGAGCTAATTAAAAATGAGGTCTTTCTATTCTCTGTGCAGCCTGATGTCCTCGCTTGTCATGTGGTCGAGCACATTCTTTCCAGCTCCTTTCATGGCACAAACAAGTTAGGATGTTGTTGTTGCACGCCCCTCTTTTTTTAAGGCTTCAGTGGGGAGAGATGCTGAGCAGCTCCAGAGGCTGGTCAGTGTGAGCAAAGCCAGCTCCAAGCTCCTGGCAGCTGGGAGGCTGTGGGATCCAGCAGTGACCACCCTAGGTGTTACCTCAAGGATGTGAGCATCCCAGGGTGATCCTGCCCTTCTTCCATCCTCGCCTGTGGGAGAGATGAGGAGAGAAAACAGTGTGGGATGAATGGAGCCTCTACCAGATCCATTAGGCTGAAGAACGTGGTCACTTAGGAGGGGATTTTGCTTTTGTTGAGTGATATTAGTCACAGCGTGGTGTGTGGCACAGAGCAGTGAGGCAAGGCTGTGATCTGCTAACAATGCAGGCGAGGTGGCTGGCTGCCACTCGGGAGGGCTTTCCTGCAGCCAGCCTTGGCCATGCAGTTCCTGGAACCAGGACAAGGCCACACAGCTTCAAATCCATCGAAGACAACAGCAAGTAAACAAGGCGTGTTGCTGTGTAGTCTTCTCTGAGTGACAAGAGTCAGAGATCCTTCTGTTTCCATTGAGAGAAAAAGGAGAAGAAAAAAAAAAAAGATCTCAGCATCAGGAGTGGGAAGAGTGGAGCCCTGTCCTGGTCACACAGCCATTCCCAGCCAGCCCTCCAACATCTCCAGGCACATAGTCCCTGGTCCCCTCCCAGAAAGCAATCTTGAAGGTCAGAGGCTTTAGCCCACTATCTTTGGAGAC